TCCTCCCGCGGCGGGCAGCGGGTGATGTAACCGCCGCCCCCGCCGCCTCCCTGGGCAGGGCGGGGGCTCCTGGTGCGCTTTTCAGCGTCGGGGCCCGTGGGAAGAGGGATTTCTTAGGCTCCTTTGGAGTGTAGCGATCTCGGGAAGGTTTTGTTTCCTCACCAACCTCAGTCGCAAACGGTCGCTTTGCTCTCTGAACGTAAAACTTTCCAGACACCTTCTAGCTACCCAGTCTCAGCTTCTGAACTTGTGTTATAAGTATATGCAAATCATAATACGATTAGATTCCCCTCTTCTCCCACGCTGAAAAAGGAACGTTTTTCTGGCATGCTGCCATAACTTCCAGTTCTACTAGGCTCTAGTGGGTTTGCTTTGTTTTTTTAATTTGGGGCATGTTTTCATACTTGATAAAAGAAGTTTGCCATTTAATGTATATATTTGACACACGTTTGCATACATACTGATTTGTATTACAGTGTTTGTGGCATTGATAACATTTGGGGCAACTTAATTTGTTATTGAGATAGGGGTGCTAGTTTTTCTTAGCACTGAACTTACTCCCATACTTTAATATAGCTTATTGCTCTCCTGGGTTTTACATCTGTTGAAATCATCCTAAATCTTTTGAAATCTGTGATTCCTCTGTGGAGCTGATAGCTTTGTTAATACTTGTGGTCATTTTCTTTTTAGGTGGCTATGGCTACAGGACAGGTGCTATTTCAACGTTTTTTTTATACCAAGTCTTTTGTGAAGCATTCCATGGAGGTAAGAAAATGCTCAAATATGGGTATGGCTACAAATGCTACTTTAATCTTTCAATTTTTCAATCTGCTTGGGCAAGTTGCCATCTTAGATGTGATCAGTGTTAGTAAACAGCCTGTAGATTTTACTTGTTGATCAACAGGATTTTACAAAACTACATAGTGTTTTGTCAACTTTTTTTTTGTATTTCTTTGTTTTACCACCATTTTCTACTCTTATCCCTCCTTAAACTGTTGGAGGTGGTCAGTTCCCAGTTTGAGCAACACATCAGTATCTTGCCATGCTTCTGTTTCAGCACGTGTCAATGGCCTGTGTTCATCTGGCATCCAAAATTGAGGAAGCACCGAGGCGCATCAGGGATGTGATCAACGTGTTCCATCGGCTGAGGCACCTGAGGGAGAAAAAGTAAGCTGAGACTTGGAAAGAATCTCCAGTATTTATGTTGTATTTTAATCATTAAACTTCTTGAGCCTGTTTCATCAATCAGGGAACATCTTGAAGAGATCTCATGAAGGAGAAAAGGGAGTTGAGACATTTTATTGAGTAAATATTTCTGGTGTTACAGGCAGCAGCGTCTCATTTTTACACAAACACAACTTCATCTGCATCTGAGTACTCCTTGAGGTTAAGATTATCTTCCTCAGAATCTAAAATTCTCTTGCAGGAAACCTGTGCCACTAATACTGGATCAAGAATATGTGAATTTGAAGAATCAAATTATTAAAGCAGAAAGAAGAGTGTTAAAGGAGTTGGGATTTTGTGTTCATGTAAAGCATCCTCATAAGGTTTGTACTGTATATATTCTCTTTATATCAGTGTTTTTTATGCTATAAATGCTTTGAGTAGGCCACCTAGGTGCATGGAAGCTGTCTGGTTTGTGTGGGTAACACAGGTTAACTCAGTAAAGCTGGCTTCTTGCAATCCAAATCTCTTCTTTCTCACTTAAGAGTTTCTTACTGGTTGGGTTTGTATCACTGCTGAAGGACAACTGGAGGTGCCTGCAGGTGCCAAGTATTGAAGTCCCATTACCTGTGTAGGTAGCTTTGGTGTTAGAAAACATCAACTAAACAGATTCCTAAGCAGGACTGGAGACCTGGGGTTGTGATAGCCTGTTACCAGCAGCCCTGTGTGTTGCAACAGCTCCATGTGGAAACATGCTGAGGTCATTGCACCCCTATGAGCTAGTTAGAAGTGTTTCTCATGTCCTGAAGAGCCTGCCCAGCTGTGAAGGGCTTGACTAGCAACAAGACAATTCTCAATGTTTACATATCATGTGTTAGATTAGGAGGATCAAGTCTTATAAGCCTACTTGACTTTCAGAATTCACTCATGTTAGCAGTACCACAGGGAACAACTGTACCACTTTGTTAATAGGTGTGAATTTTTGCTGTTAATCTTATCTGCTATTAGTCTTATTATCTGCATCCTTGTTTTCCTTTCAAACCTAAGAAAATACCTAGAGTAAACCAGTGACACACCACACGTTACATCTGTTCTCTGCAAATACTGTTGTACTTCTGTTACTGCTTATTGCAGCTAGCAATGTTTTCTCCCAAGATACAGCTAAAAGGAGTCGTGAGTTGTGTAGGAGAACATACCTAGCTTGAAAAAGTTGAAGACAAGACACCTAGATGAATAGGATGATGCCTGTGCTCAGAAGACGGAGAGCTAGGAAGGTCAGATCTGGCTGAGTGTCCAGCTCTTGCACTGCAGAGCAGGAGCTGTGTGGATACACAACGGGGGTGTTGCAAGCACTCCCCTCACGTGGAGTGTTTTAGAACCTCAAAGAGAATAACAGATGCCTCATGGATGTCCCTCTGAAATAAACAGGTGGCTCTCAAGATTCCTGTTAATAACTCAATAACCCATATCTTCCAGATAATCGTTATGTACCTTCAGGTATTAGAATGTGAACGTAACCAACACCTGGTCCAGACCTCATGGTAAGTTGATTTTCTTTGTTTTAAGAGACCAGCAGGGGCAGTAGCAGAAATATGTCACTTGAGGCACTCTGGGCAGCATTGCTCAGGAATGATTGTGGGCCACACCAGACAGCTCCAGTGTTTCTTGGTGTGCCCCAAACTACTACCCAAATGTTGATCGGCCTCGTAAGTTAGAGGCACTGTTTTAATGGTAAGGTAGCTTTCCACCCTGACTTCTCACTTCCCTCCTTCTCTGCTTTCACTTTTCAGCTGAAGGGAAAATGTTGAGTGGGTTATAGGGTTTCCTTGCTTTTTTTTGTTCTTCAGAGAAAACTGTAGTTACTGTTACCTGTGCTGGGAAATGGCTTTTGCCAGGGCTCGAGCTTGATTCCAGGTGTATCAAAAACTCAGCACAGATAAATTTCTTTTATCTATATGGATAATGGAAGATGTCAGCTTCTAAGACTGGATAAAATTCATGTTTCCACGTTTGCCAAGAAGTGTTCTTTGCCTTGTTGCTTTCATTGCAGTAAAGATTTGCTTGGGGGATGGGAAGCTTGTATAAAATTCCAGGTCTTAAAACTTAACCAATAGCTAATGCTTTTAAACAATAGCGTTTTTTAACAGTCCTGTGATTTAAAAGCCTTTAGTGAATCCAAAGATCATATTTCTGCTGACTGAACTGTCTGGTACTGTGACTTGTGTGTAGAGAACCAGTTTTGACTTTTCTTTTCTGTACTCTTTTGATCAAAGGGTAGCCTCTGAGGGTAAGTGACTAAGACTTCTCCTCTGCTGCCCAAGCGCTATCGTGCAGGGATAGCTGCCGTCTTCAGTCAAACCAAAGCAGGCTCTTCAAAGAGAAGGCTGACTCTAGACAGGTGGTATATACATGATAGTATAGTAACTGGCCAACTGCTTCTTGTGCTTCTACTTTCTGACTTTTATTTTTAATGTGCATTATGACTGTTGTTGTATATTTTATAACCCGATCGTTGAAGTGCTGAAAGATTTTTTCATGTTCTATTTCTTTAACTGTTTAAATGATGTATTCTTAAATGACAAAGAATTTAAGGTGGGATTTGAGTCTTAAAGGGGTGAATTAACACATCAAAAACTGAAATCTAGTTTCATTTTGCAAGCTAGATAGAAAACATTTGAGTCCATGTGCAAAGGTTGGGGTCAAATGTGAAATACTTATGCAATGGTACTGGGAAGTTTCTCTGAAGTATCCAAGTATGAGTTACAGGCTATTGATCACCAGTTTTCTACTTGTTATGGAAGGAGGGGCAGGTGGGGAGGAGGGAGGCAATTTACCCTGCTTGAGAGATGGTTCAGATGTTAAAAGAACATGTGTGCTGATGCTTGTTGCTTCCAGGACCTGAAAACTGGTGGATATCCAGTATAATTGGTTTTTCTGAAATGTGTGTTTTTACAACATTACCTTTTTCTTAAAGTACTGTGACAAGGATTCATTTCCTCCTGTGTCTGATTCTGAGCCCACAGGGAAAAGACAGAGGCCAAACTTGGAAGTGGGTATGTTTTTCCATTTGGCAAATTAGACTAAGGCTGTATGACTTCCAGATGTTTGAAGTACCACTCTTCTTCATCACTGCTTTTGCCAGAAGGTTTGTGCTCTTTGTAGTGGGACAAGAAAAGTAGGTTTTGAAGTTGCTTTCTTCCAGAAAGATGAGCTGTTGTTTGGCATTGCCTCTCTGGAGCTGCATGAGCTCTTTGTATACACATGAACGTAAGACAACTGGGAGAGGTGGGAGTTTGATACTCTGGGGATTCAAGTTCCTTTTATCTGCCCTTTGTAAATGGGACTGTGGTCTCTGGTTTGGATGTCTTGGGGGTCAGTGAATCCTTGTATACTGGGTACCCACGTGGTTAATTACTACTTTCAGAAAGCATATTTTGAGGACTTTCTACTGTATCTGATTTTAGCTTTTCCCCATCTGATACTTTGCTTGACATAGGTGCTCAGAAGTCTAGATCTTTTTAAGCACATCTGCTGACAGATTTGGAGGAAGTTACTTTGTGTATGTAAGATTTAGAGGAATAATGCTTAAGTGTACTGACTGGAATATATGCAATATTTTGCAGTTTTCTCATTCTGTGAATATTCATTTTAAGCAACCTTACTGAAATGGGACAATTTGGAAACCGTATTTCATGTGCCAAAGAGGAGATCTGCCTGAATATGGAGTATTCTCCTGAACTGATGTTCCCAAACATCCTGATTTCTCCTATGGCTGCTTTTTACATCAGAAGGAATTCTATTCTGGATGGAAAACAGTGCTTCTGAAGGAGGAGGGACCCCTCAAATCTCCAGTGGAAGTTGACACATCCTGCAGTGGACGGCGTTTTCATGGGACAACTACTACAGGAGCTGCAGCTCTCATCAAACTGTGTGGTTTCAGGCTTTTTGCAGAGAAACCTATGAAACTAAAAGTCTATAACTGAGTACTTCAGATTATATTGTATGTTGTCTTGGTGAGAGTAACTTGTCTATTGCATGAGAGCAGGCCAGTAGAGATCCAGAAGGAAAAGTGAAGTTAAAATTGGTTCTCGTTTTCACAACTGCATTTTCAGCAGTCAGTCATTCAAACTTAATTTCTGTCATGCATCCCTCCCCTTGAGGGATTTTTAAATTATTTTTTTCTTCAGTAAAATCACTTAACTTTTCTTTAGATTTGCAGGAATATAACGAAATTTAGTAACCAAATGCAGAGAGAAATAGTCCTTGTACAAATAAAAACAAACAAACCAACCTAGAAAACACCAAACAACTTGGCAGTGCCATGCAACTTTGCTGATCATCCTGTCTTTCAGGAATTACATGAATGATAGCCTGAGGACAGATGTCTTTGTAAGGTTCCAGCCAGAGAGCATTGCCTGTGCATGTATTTACCTCGCAGCTAGGACGCTGGAGGTGAGCATACAGTTCCATTCATTTCAGGGGGTTTAGGTCTTTTAATAAAGAAAACTCAGCCTGTTTTCGCCTCCCTTTCAGATCCCACTTCCTAACCGTCCACACTGGTTCTTACTCTTTGGAGCAACAGAGGAAGAAATTCAAGAAATCTGCTTAAAAATTTTGCAGCTCTATACCCGGAAAAAGGTTTGTGTGTGTGGTGTGGGGTTTTTTTGTTTGTTTCATTTTGGGAGCATTCATTAGAGGCTACAGCTTAGAACATGAGTTGGAAAAAATCTGCTTGGAACTAACTGCAAGCCTGGTACATCGAGTGGAACAGGATAGCAGTCAGTGTCTGGGGCTCTTTACATTCCCCCCCTGCCCCCTGTGAGTAAGCAGAAAGTCTAGTTTATTAAGTTTTTGTCTTAAGAGGTTCTTCTGTGCTCACAGGTTGATTTATCTGATCTGGAAAGTAAAATAGAAAAGAAGAAACTGGCGATTGAAGAGGCAAAAGCACAAGCTAAAGGGCTGGTACCTGAGGGAGCCCCAAGCTTGGATAACACATCAGGATTTTCCCCTATCCCAAAAAATGGTAAGTGGTGGATAATGTGTTTTTAATAATCCTTGCTCATCTTAAATGTGTATTTACAGGTTTGGGATGCATATAGTGTGTGGTTTGGGGGTTTTGTTAGTGTTGTTTTTTTAATCTGGCTTCTAGCTACTCTCCGAATAGTAGAGTTTGAGTAATATTGTAACTTTCTAATTTTTTGAAACAGGCTAAAATAAAATTAGTCTAAAATTAAGACTAGTTTAAACTTATAAAGTACAGAGACTGGCTTTTATGTGGCTTTGGCAATAAACTTGAACAAATACTTGCAATTGGCATGTTACACTAAAGCAGTATTAAAGCAGAGGCATGATGGGGAGCTCTGGCAGGAGTAGTATTTTGGGGTGAGAGATGGGGATTATTTTCCTGCATGTTTTGGCAGAAGTGCTTTAGAGCAACATCTGCCTTCTGTGAACTTCTTCAGATCTCCTTGTGGGTGGTTGTGTGTGCATGCAGGTGTGCACGTGTGTGCAGCACTGATGGATCCAGAGCTGATGAAATGTGGTGGTGGTGGGGAGGCTTCAGTCACTACCCATACTTTCAAAATGAGGTAACAAAGGCTTCTCTTTCTAGAGTCTCCAAAAGAGGTTAAAGGAAATAAGCCTTCGCCTCTACCTGTTCAGGCAATGAAGAATGCTAAAAGGAAAACAGAGGGAGCAAAGAGAACAAGTTCAAATAGCCCAGTAAATGGGTAAGGCTTTCATAAGGAAGGAGCTTATTTTTTTCCTAGGACTTCTTGAAGCAAAATGTCTTACTCTGGATTGTCTCTCACAGGATTCAGAAAGGCAGAGAAAGCAGAAGTCGAAGTGGAAGTCGAGAGCAGAGTTACTCAAGATCACCATCCAGATCTGCATCCCCTAAGCACAGGTTGGTACTGCTGTAAGAGAAGGGTGTGCTGTGAGAGGCTCCAGACAAAAATGACAGTGAGCTTTGGTAGCCTCTTGAGAAGAGAGGCTGTGGAACAACACAGCAGCACTGCTGCTCGTTAAAACTCCAGAAGTCTTATGGCCAAGTTGTACTGTCCTGGCTCCCAGGTCAGGGGAGTTGTGGTGTGTGCCCTTGTCTCATTGCTGTGCCCAGCAGGCTGAAAGGCAAGTGTGAGGGTGTTGGGCCATTTTTGAATGTCAGCCCATTTATTGGTGATGTACAGCCCTACCAAGGGGCTGGATTTGCCTCTTCATTTGGGAGTGTTGTATTTAAAGTTGGGTGTTTATGGCTAGAGTCTTTAATGGTTAATGGGTTGTTTTTCCTGAACTGTACCAGAGTGGCTAAATCATTTTCTACAGTAGATGAATTCTTAACTCCAGCCTTAATCTCACTTGCAGTTTCTCCTGCTAATCCTTAATTTATGACACAAAAACAGGATAATTTTTTTAATATCTGGTTTATTAGAGATTCAGGCCCTGTGGTCAATCCAAGTTTGACTCATTCAGCAGCCTGTCCTGTTGGGTTTGGGTGTGCATTGATTAAAGCATGGCTTTGTTCTAACATGGAAAAGACCAAAGCTACAATCTGCTGATTAAAACTCCTCAGTGTTGAATTCCAGGCAGCATTTTAGTAATGATCAGTATTTCTACAGTAGCTAGATGGGGTCAGGTCTAGGACACCAGGTTAGTTTTTGTGGGATACTGAACACAGCATCAGGTGCCTGAAAGCCTGAAATCTGAAGCCGTGCTTGCACACAGTGGCTCTAGAAGTGGGAAGTGTCTGTGTGGAGTTGGTGTGCAGGTATGGATGTTTTCTGACTACATTTAGATGCTGTTGCATTGAGTGATTATTCAATATTAAGAAAATTGTGTTTTCTCTTGTCTTTCTCCCTTCCCACAGGAAGAGTGAGAGCTACTCCACCTCCAGCGGCTCCAAGTCCCACAGCCGCTC